TGTGTGTATATAATGCAGTTTGTGTGTGTTTGTATAGTGTGTGTATATAATGCAGTTTGTGTGTGTGTATATAATGCAGTTAGAGTGTGTTTGTATAGTGTGTGTATATAATGCAGTGTATTTGTGTGCATTGTATACAAACACACACTATACAAACACACACTGCATTATATACACAGTGTGTTTGTGTAGTGTCTGTGTATATAATGGAGTGTGTGAGGGGGAATTTTTTATTAAATTATTTTTTATATATATATTTAATTATTATTTTTTGTCCCCCCTCCCTGCTTGTTACCTGGCCAGGGAGGGGGGATATGACAGTCCCTGGTGGTCCAGTGGTATTGGCTGAGCTGGGGGGGCGGAGAGCAAGCGCTTACTCACCTCCCAGCAGCTCCTCCAGCTCCCCAGTGCAACTCTCGCGGCCAGCGTGTCGCGCGGAGCGTTGCCATGGTGATCCATGGCAACGCTCTGACGGCCGCTGGTCTCGCGAGAGTTGCACTGGGGAGCTGCTGGGAGGTGAGTAAGCGCTTGCTCTCCGCCCCCCCAGGACCGCCGGGCTTGTAATGAGCCCGGCGGTCCTAGGAGGTATTATCGGCAATATCGGTATCTGAATTGGCCGATACCGATATTGCCGAGAATACCGAATATCGGCCGATTATATCGGTAAAACCGATAATCGGTCGATCCCTAATATTTAGAATATTTTTCACTACATGAACATTTAAAGGGACACTCCACATAATCCATGGTCCTTGCAGAAGTTATAATACACAGCATTCACTGTAACAGTTTAATTTCACCCCATTCAACTTAAATTTTCCATTACAATTTTATTAAAATGTAGCATTTTTGAATATGTCCAGTTAAAAAAAATATATAATAATAGTAAAAATGATGAGTGTCCCTTTATAGCAATACAGTTAAGAAGGCTGAAAAAGTTCCATGTAGCATGTTCTAATTAAACCTTACTGGAGATCCTGTTTCCATTGTCTGGATCCTTAATGTGCTGAGCAAACATCCTATGTTCATAGGGCCTGCATGCCATGAACAGCTGCATTGCAAACCAAAGTAGATTTAATAATGCCAAAGCATTTAGCTTGCGGTTTGGGATCACTGCTGGAAGCCAAGAAAAATTCTAACTGTTGTTCTAGCTACTAATCACTATTTTAGGGCACTTTATAATTGCAGGGTTTAGAGTTACCTTGGCTCAGCACTTGGCAGAGAAATGTCTGGAGACTGAATGTATATATTCCAGGTGAAAAATCAGAATCGTGCTTAACACTTTGGGAGACAATAAAAGGAACACTCCAAGCACTATAATCACTACATTGCATGGTGGTGGTTATGCTGCCAGGAGTTGTCTGGCACCACCCCTAGTGTAAAAAGTCAATTTTAGACCAATTAGAGATTTGACTTCTTATTTTGGGTCTGACAGGTGCTGCTCCCCACCTCCTCTTTGAAAACAGGAGAGCCAGAAGCTCCAGCGCTTCTCTACTTAAAGGGACTCTCCAGTGCCAGGAAAACAAACCCGTTTTTCTGGCACTAGAGAATCCTAGAGTGCCCCCCATGCCATGTTGCTGAAGGGGTTAAAACCCCTTCAAATACTTACCTGAATCCAGCGCCGATTTCCCTCGGCGCTGGGTCAGGCTCCACCCACACGCCTCCCCCACAGACAATTGCCAGCGGGGGAGACCTAATGCACATGTGCAGCAATGGCCATGCTTGTGCATGCATTAGACTTCCCCATAGGAAAGCATTATTCACTGCTTTCCTATGGGAATTCCGGCGATGCTGGAGGTCCTCATGCAAAGCGTGAGGACGTCCAGCATCGTTAAAGCGACCAAAAAGTCATTTAAGAACCCGGAAGTCCCTCTAGTGGCAGTCTAATAACCACTAGAGGAGAACTTAACTCTGCAAGGTAATTATTGCAGTTTATAAAAACTGCAATAATTATACTTGCAGGGTTAAGAGTGATGTAAGTTGGCACCCAGACCACTCCAATGGGCAGAAGTGGTCTGGGTGCCTGGAGTGTCCCTTTAACAAAGCACTTCAGTGCAGAACAAGCTCACTGGCTAACAGCATCAGCTGATCGCTCTCAATCCATGAGGTAAGAGAGCTTCCAACTCCCTGGAGGCTGTAGAGGAGGCAGAAAGTGGTGACCCCAGGTAAGAAGTCAAACCATTCTAAAAATGTCTGCAGTGGTTATGTGGAGTGTTCCCTAAAGTATATGTAAGTATGCCATCTTCACTCTACCATTAATGCATGCACAGTCACTAAACAATTTTACGGTTTGATTTTCTTAAAATCCTGTGAAGACCTGACCAGAGCAATTGTAATAAAAAAAAAAAAAAAAGGAAGAAGAATAAATAAATAAATAAAAATCAACTTACCCATAAGAGAAAGCTTCATTATTTTTCCATCGAGAGATGACAGATGCTGCCAATCCAGCTAACAATGCCGTGCAGTCAAAAAACATGTGAAATGAATCCGAGATCAGGCCCAAACTGCAGACATATAAACAATAAGATAAGAAATAAAACACACATTATACGTTTACACTAAACAGTGAATTATGGCAGACAAATAATCAAGTGGGGAAGAAAATGAAGATAAAGTGCTTGCCTAAATTTCTGCATGCAATAATATGAGTTTACAACAGACAGATAATCATGTCACAACAGGCGCTACACTAAAAAAGGTTTAAGTACCTTGTGATCTTGTATTGCACAATCTAGTGACAGTAAAAGACATATGTCTAGTAAATGTTTTAATGCGCATTTTCTTTACCTTTTGCTGTACGCACAATATTTTTTTAATAAACAAAGATGTGGCTAATTTAGTACCATTATCTCTTAATATGCATTAAGAATGGATTAATATTTCTGTCCCTTTAAAAAGACTGGATTATAACTTTTGCGCAAGGGTAGCTAAAACGTAGTCCCCCAGCTGCTTTAGAACTAAAGCTGTTAAAGTGTAGTAGAAATTGTAGTTTTACAACAGTTTTTGTAGACTTGAAATGGATCATTTCTGTGGGTTTCCGGCTTATAAAATTGTATTTGGATGGAATGAACAAATGTCCTCCTTAAACACATTCACACCTTCTACGTAGTTGGCTTACATGAAATACCTAAGGGATGTATTCATACATCAGCAAAAATGATATGAATTTTGAATTAAGGGGACACTCCACGCAACATAACCACTTCAGCTTATAGTTGTGGTTTTTGTGCAAAGATCCTCCCCCAGCACTCATATTTGTTTGAACCGATAACTCCACCCTCTGGCTAGTCAGCCCATTCATGAAAGCTTTGTGTACAAATATATGTATGGTAAGAACGTGCATTGACTCCTCACATTAAACAAGTCAGACAGCCTTTCCTACTCGCAGGAGCGGTGTGGTGGGAGTGCTCAAAGTCACCACCTTCATTCATTTTTACCAATATCATTTCAACAAGCCAGGTCTACTACAAGGAAAAATGGGATGTCCAATCGCCTACGGTATTTGGCAAATGGCTCTGGAACACGCAAACCATATTTAAGAACAGCAGCAGAAATACCACTAGCAGAAGGAACCTGAAAGGCCATCTCTTTGTTAAGACATTTTTTCTCATCACCCTTTAACTTAACATGCTTACTTCAACATCCTTCATTTGCCCTGTCTTCTTCACCAAGGAAACACAGTATTTAAACTCAGCTAGGAAGCCATAGATTAAAAACACACTGAGCATATGTACAAGTGAAATTCAAACTCTCAGAATTTCCTTGGATCTAGAGGTGGCCTCTGGTAAGCAAGAGGAATCTAGAGTATTTGAGGAGCGGGTTACAGAAAAGCACACTCATCAATCACCAGCAAACAGAACGGCACTGCAGGGAAGTTGTGAAATCCGGAATATAAAGCTAAAGTAAAAAGTGCCCTGTAACAATGCATTTCAGTTAATATAGTTTTGCTTAAAGCCCAAAAAACACGTGCTAGACAGGTGGTTACATTTAGTACAAAGTTAATGGTCAGCTCCAGGTCTCTGTACAAATGGCATTCAAAAATATATGTACGTGGAACAGATAAACCACTATGGAGCAGAACATTCCTGAAAATGCTAACTAAAAACTGGTTTTTTCATGGTATCCAGAGGTACAGTTCATACATTTAGCTTTAATAAGATTAGTGATACAAATAATTAAGTGTCCTTTTTAAAATACTGTGTGATCGGACAATAAGCCTTAAAAAAAAAAAAAAAAAAAAATTAGATAGAGAAATGTACTGAAACAAACAAATATACAGAATTTGAGTATTGCATTTTCACATGTTGAAAATGGCTAATGTAGACCACAAGCACATCATGAAAACATGCAAAAACTGCAAATATTAGCAAGATTCCTGGGGAATAAGGGCAAAGGGCAACATAAACAACTTCAAGCTAAAAAATGGAAACCCTATACCTGGCTAAATTAGTGTCATATACATAGGGGCAATCTAACCACAAAAAAACCAAAAACACTACAGCTTACTGTAGTGGTTGTGGTGAAAGGAGTCTGTTAGTGCAATCATTCTAGTTTTTTGTAAAATAGTCTTCAAGTAGTTTGCCAAAACCTGGGGCTCTCTAGGTATTGAAAGGCAATCCACTCTACTGCTACCAAGATAATATATACTTTTTTTTCCCACATTTCAATCTAGATGGTAGTAATTGGCTGAGAATGCTGGGAGTGTAGGAGTCATTTTTGCCCATATGTGTACAGGTATTTAAGCATTATTTCTTTGGATAGCTAGGCTGGCTTTTAAACACCATGAGTGTCACAGGTTGCATCAAACTATATGGGTTTCCTCTTAAAGAGGTCTTGCACTTTAACCACTATACTAAATTAAAGTAGTTTTAACACACAGAGTGAACTTTTAAGGATGGCCAAAAGGCCAGGGAACCCTTGCCAATTATATGTTGAAGTAGGGATCTTTACTGGGGATTGACATATACAAGTACAAACTGACTTTATAGGAATTAATGGGCACATGAAGTGAACTAGACTGGGAAATTGTGAAGACTTTATTTTAAAATAAATAAATAATTAAAACCAAAAGAAGGGTTTATAAGCATATCTCTTACAAATCAGATTGTGGAGCGCTGAGTGGTTGCATGCAAAAATAGGGTAATATTCACTTTTTTTACCCCGATTTAAAGGCTGTATAGTTGCAATGTAACATGTAAAAGAAAATAAAAAAAATAGTGCAGATTGATTCAGATAAAAATGATCTGTGCTTAATGTGGAATGGTACCACACACACATTTATTGGAGCCTAAAATGATCAAGGCTCAATACTTGTGCGAAAGTGCTCTTATAGGCGGCACCCCACCTTCTTCCAGTAGGTATACAAGTCAAAAGTAAGCAGAACATGGTGTAGTATGTCTATATTCAGAAGTTTGATAATCTCTGTGAAAACAAAGACTCTCACCTTCTCTAGAGCCACTTGTATCCTTGGCTCCAGGGTGGAAGTGTTAAGTGTCAGTATAATGGGGTGGCACTTCCCCAAACAAGGGACCTAGAACCTGAAGCAGGAGGATTACCATAAAGTGATAAAGCCAAAATATTTATTAAACTTATTAAAAACCTCTATAAAAATAGTAAAAACAATGTCAAGTGCATTTATCAGTCCTGGTAGTACGGTTCTGCCGATGCCAAAACATGTCTCGCTGAATGTAGCTTTCTCGGTTGGCAATGATTAACCGAAGAAGCTACATTCAGAGAATCTGCACTGTTTTTTTATATTTTCTTTTAAATGTTACATTGCAACTATACAACCTTTAAAATCAAGGTAATAAAAGTGAATATTACCCTATTTTTGTATGCCACCACTCAGTGCTCCACCACCCAATTTATAAGAAATATGCTTATAACACTTCTTTTGTTTTGCATTTATTGAAGGTGAAGGTCAAAAAGGTATTCCTTCACGTGTTTTTTGAGCTGCTGGTTCTGGAATATGTATTGAAGCGCTTTTTGTCACACACACTCCTTTAGGGAGCAATTGTTGTTGGCAAATACTTTTAGACTAAATTAGTCAATGGAAAAAATCCTTATCAATTATTTTCCAACCTTGGCTATTTAAAGGAACACTATAGCTTTAGGAATACAAATCTGTATTCCTAACACTGTAGTGTTCTCCTCAGCATTTATAGTCAGGACCATCGGAAACCTAAGGAGAAAAAAAAAAAAAAAAAAGATTATTACTTACCTTTTTTCCCCCTCAGCACCAAGATCCAGAACCTGCAGTTGCCCGACCTGCTTCCCAGAGTAGGAGGGAAAACCTACTCCATGACGCAGGCACCTCAATGGAATGACTCACTCTGATTCTATACAGCCCAGCTAGCGCAGGGTAGGGAGCTACCATAGCAACCAGAGCATATATGCTGTGGTTTCGAAGGATGAAAAGCAGAAGGACCGCCTGTGAGTGGTCCTTTCTGTTCTCCCCATCAACAAATTCTCAAAAATGACCGTAAGTTTATTAGTGTTTTTTTGGCATTTTCTAAAATTATTGTTTTAAAGGGGGGATGGCATAATTTAAAGCAATAGAAGCCAATCTCTAAGGTTAGAAATAAATAATTTCATTGTATTCTTTGCGACTATAAATCCACTTTAATGCCTTGATTATTGATAAGTGGTTTTAAATGTTGAACTGTCTGCAGCAACACTAGACAGAATCACATGTAGAAAAACATAAAATACTCTTAGTATGTACATTGATGGGATAGTTTAATGTTACCTGTTACTCCAGATTCCATAGAAAAGTTCTACAAACGCAAAGGACAGGTTCAAACACAAAAAACAGAAGAGATTCCTGGATGTAGAATCTGAAAAGATGGATCTGCCAAGGAAGAGAGGAGGAAAAACCGGTGAATAGAACATACATAGCTTATAAGGACTTCACAGCAATGAGAACACCAAAAGGTGATCCTACTAATCTGCATACGCTGGCAATTAATCCATAATAATAATAATAGAGCATCATATAAATACTGAAGTAGTCACTTGTCACCACATCTGGTATAATGAGAGGCTGCAGACAGAAAATGAATAAGCTATATAGAGTGTGAGTAATATGGGCTGTACAGCTACACTGGAATTAGCAGCATTGAGCAATATTTGAGTAGTATATCCTGTAGCATTTAATAGCTGCAAGTAGTGCAAGATTGTATTCAGGGAGAAAAGTAACAAAAAAGTACAACATATAGGATGGTGACTGAGCAATAATCTAAACTAAATTATGTAGGATTTCGCTTTACCAGTTAATTCACAGTAAAACCCATGTGAAATTATTTTGGAGCAGAAGCCATTAAATATAATATGCACAGGCCATCCCTATGTCCTATCTGGGAGGCTTTGCCACGTGTACAGTCGCATCCAATACATATACCAATACAGGAGAGGGTATCCATCCATCGGATTTTACCCCCTGGACATGTACATTGGGGCATTTACAGAAGGATGGGGCAAAACCAGATAAAAATGGGTGAGTCTCAGCTGTGTTAGAACTACAACTCCCATGATGCTTTGAAAGGCTTATGGCTGGTAAAGCACCATGGGAGTTGTAGTTTTAAAGAGTAAAGGGGGGGCTAGGAGGTTTGGCTACTCCAGACAGACACAATCATTACAGTATATAATATACCGTGTATAATATACACCCACTCCCCGCATTACCTGACCCAGCCGGACAGTTTCCGCATCAGGTTGAATTTGGGAGGTTTGTACTCATCATCCTTGATAGATAAAGGCAGCATCCTGACACCCGGTGACCCGACCTCCCCAGACTATTAAAGCCAGGACCCCTATCCCGGTGCGAGCTCTCCACTCCGGTGTCCCCGAGCGCCCCCGCGGTGTTTCCCCTTGTGTCCGCGATGACGGCCCGGCGAAGGAGTGCCTAGTCCGTACCGAGCGCCGGCAGCCGCTTCCTGCTTCCGGGGAAGATGCGGACTAACCGTGACACTGAGACAACCGACAGCCAATCACAGCTCGCATCGCCGAGCGAGCCATCCGGACACGCCCACTCGCAGGCTGCTAGCGCTGACGGAGACTTAGCGGATAGGCATAAGGAAGTATTGCCCCAATCAAACATGGCGCCGGTTGACATTTGACGTAAGCGCGCCGTGATTGGTACGTAATGCATAGTTGCTAATAGACTCATATTTTTAAGGGTAGTCTTTATAGCATTGGTGGCTGGAAGTAGAAGTTTAATGCAGTGTTCCAAATAGTTTTCTATAACTGTATATTATATTATTGCAAAATATTTAACCTTACTCTGTAAATCTGACCAATTCTAATTACAGTTGTGCCATATTAACTTCATATTGTGATAGTGGATGGTCCTCTGGGGAGTGTTTGAACTATATACATTTTTTATTATTATTGTTAGCTCCTTGTTCTCCATTATGCTATTTGTTTACCCATGTTCTCCAACAAACTGTGTAGCCAGACACTACATGTGTATTTATTCTGAGATCATGACACTATAATTGCACACAGGTGAACGCCATCCAACTAATTATTTGACTAATTAAGGCAGTTGGCTGCAGCACATCTTATTTGTTGAAACAATGTCTCATAGCAAGAGGATACATTCTAATGCTCCCGTCGCTTTTTTTTTTTTTTTTTTTTTAAATACTATTTATGTCTCAATGAAAATATATTTTGCACCTTGAAAGTTTTTGGTAAACTGTGTAAATCAAAGATGAAAAAATATGAATAAAACCCATGATCAGTGTATTCCAGAAGTACCAGCTTCTGACGTTGGGATTTGTTTGCAGAGTGAATTCCAGGCCAAGAGACAGAACATACACACACAGTGTTCGTAACAACACTGTGACAGTAAAAATAATACCTTCATTTCTGAATGATGAAATGGTCTGAACACTGTATCAATCCCAGTGATCATGAGTAACAGAAAGACTGGCAGGTAAGTGCATACACAGCCCCACTACAATTGTAAGTGAGAGGAAAGTTTGGCCACTGATCCCATTCCCATAAATACACCAACAAACCCGTATACTGTATAAAAATAAATTTATATCTAACCTCTTGATTACTGTATTGTAGATGAAGGGGGGCCAAGTCTGCCTATCACACACACAGTGAGTGATGAATAGGATTGGGAACTTGTAAAGCCTTTGTCCAAATCCCTTTAGAGTTCCCCAAGTACCAAAAAAAAAGGAAGTTTGATCCATATATTTACCCCAACAATCTCACCATGCTTTTTAACCGAGAGTGAGGTTTAGGGGTAAGTTTATGCCACCAAAATTCAAACATTTAATTCTGTAATTAAAGCAATACACCCACAGGAGAGAGCAACATATAAACATTGCTTTTCTAGTCGAAATATATAATTATTATGCACATTAATAACATTGTCCACATCCACCCCTTTCTTTTGCAAATGCAGTGACTGCTGTATATTTCTCCTAACTGGTTTCTTTAGAAACTATTTGGAACCTCTAACGTCCATAATGAATGCTGCTGAATTTAATTAGTGGGTCCACACTTCACGTCACTCTCATCTTCCAATTCTGCCTTTACCCCACCCTGTCACTTGGTTACTATATCCCACCTTGGTTTTAAATTTATTACAGCGGGGTCCTCATTAACCTATTGTTCCTGTCAAAATTTGTAATAGTTTGTCTCAATTGTTGTTTAAACTCCCCCCCCCCCTTTTCTCTTTTCTCCTATAGGGCAGCACTTTACTCTCTCCTCCAGCTCTGCTTCACTCCCACCTTATTCGATTGATATTTCCTGTCCTAATGTGTCTTATACCCCACCTCCTATAGATTGTAAGCTCATTTGAGCAGGGTCCTCTTCAACCTATTGTTCCTGTAAGTTCTCTTGTAATTGTCCTATTTATAGTTACATCCCTCCCCCCTCTCATAATATTGTAAAGTGCTACGGAATCTGTTGGCGCTATATAAATGGCAATAATAATAATTATTATTGGCATTTATATAGTGCCAAACTATTAAAATTTTGATAGGAGCAAGAGGTTATTGAGGATCCTAATCGAACAAGCTTACAATAAAGAGCATATAATTTTAAATATCCTTGGAAATATTTAAAATTATGGGACAATAGATTTAATATTAATTGCAACACATTAAAAGCAGCCTTGAAAAAAGTAAATCAGTCTAATCTAGCTGTGTCTACCCTAACAGATACATTTTAACAGGTCTTTTCTTTTTAAATGGGATAATCCTATACAAGCTAGAAAAAAAGGATTTACAGTATATTGTAATACGAGCTCAGTCTCTGCAAGGAATGCATTCACCCTGCAAAGCATTCTGGGGATGCTATTGCAGGAAATCAGTGCAGAGCAAGCAGTGTGTGTGTGTGTGCCTGGAGATTTTGCTGTTTCTTGTTTGTTTAAAGAGTTACCCTCTGATCCTAAATAGGTTTTATAAAGACAGAAGATAGTTGATTTATCATCCAAACTGACCACAATATACAGCAAAGCACTGGATACCAGGTAAGATGAGTTACTAGTTTGAATATGTCCATTACTATTCTATCTACTGCTATTTCTAAGGTGCATAACTCAATATCATGAATGGATGGCCGTATTAATACTATACCTTTGTTTAGCTATTTAGTCAACGTTAATAAATATTGTATTATGCATGTCATTTGTATATCTTGTGCTGAATTGCAGTGTACTTATATTTCTATGTCAAAAAATTATTGTAAAACAAAATTTGCTTCCGTTATCATTTATTTCACCAAACTCAAAGACAGCCAAGGGATGTTACAAATCCGATTTAAAACACAGAATCCAATTGATCTGTTTAAGTTTATTTTGAAATTGTGGAGAATTGACAATGGGAACTGTAATTTTTAAGACGAAATAACTGAAATGGAACAAATCTCCAATATTTGTATTAAATTTTACAATTATCCTGTTGATTTGTAAATGAATGAATGAATCAACTCCTTAAAAGAGAGAACATCTAAAAATGTTATTGTCGTTATCAGTGGTTCTCAGGAAAACTTGCTAATTCCATGGGGCTTACAAATATTTGGATGAGTGAGTGTTGGGCAAGTTCCACACATAAAGAGCACTAAAAAAGTTGTGGACTGCAACTAACTCCATTCTTAGCCAGGTTCATTTGATTATTGTTATAGTTCATGGGATGCAAAGTGCAAAACCTCATGGTAAGGGCTAGGTAGAGATATTGACAAACCCAGTAAGTTCCATAACAAAACCTATAACAAATAACAAAACAAATGTAAGGTAACTGACAATGAGAACAAATTAATAATAATAATCACCAAAAACAGGGCTGCATCACATACAGGAGAGCGACTTAATCATAGATATAAAAAATGGTATGTGAGCGCTCACAATATAAAATAATGACCACTAAAACACTGTATACCAAAGCAGCACCCGTGGTTGGGGATCAAACTAAATCTCGTAACAACACTGGGTTAATACAAACGTTACAAACATAAAAGAAAATAATAACATATGAATCAATATTGTAGCAATAAAATGTATCACCTGAATAAAGACACCAAAAGCCCCCCCCCCCCAGAGTATTTTTTACTCAGGGACATTCTCACTGCAATCCCCTTAGTCCTGACCAGGTGGTTTTTCTGTTTTTTGAGCTCCCTCCAGCAGAGATAGTGTATGAGTCTGGGTATTGTTTTTTCAACATTTTTTCTACTTTCCTTTTTATATATTACTTTTTATATGTGCACATTTTTAGTTCCAGTGGCTATTCAATCAGTGTAAGGGGC